AGAAAAAAATTTCCAAGAAAAATTTGTTTTTTTTTAATTAAACAATACCAGAATAGAAAAAATAGTATAAAATATTCGTTTCATAAGACATTTTATCGCACTCGTCCTTTAAAAATCTCGCCTCCGGCTCGTTTTCTAATATAGGGCTCATGCGATAAAATCACGTCTTATGAAGCTTGTATTTTAATAAACTATTTTTAAATGGAACACCCGGTATATTATATGTGTGTACGTTAGAGCATATTATTCTGATTACAATGATATAACACACTTCATATTTTGTTCCACTCGTTTTTGACAAATCGGCAAAAATATATGAAATTTTTATATGCTCTCAATAATTTTCGTCCCAAATATCAGACCGCGCCGCCTAATAAGTTTCACTTCGAAAGTTTCATATTTTTGCCGATTTGTCAAAAACGAGTAGACCAAAATATGAAGTGTGCTATATCATTGTAATCAGAATAAGATATTATATCGAACACATATATAATATACAGGGTGTTCCATTTGAAAAAATATAATGTAGGCTTATATGTCAAAAAGTTGATAGTGTTTTGTTTTACGTGTAATTTGAAAAAAAACTTGGCTACTAACCCTACATTTTGTTTTTTTGTTTACCTTGATAACTTCAAAAACAAAAAAGTTACAGGTGATCAGAATGATATCGAAGATAAAAAAACACCCGGTAGGGGGATTAAAAAATAGGAAAATATGCAGGGTTTTTTGGTAAAAGTAGAAAAAAAATGGCACATCACTATTTTTTTAAACCTTTGATATTTTTTTCAGATTAAGCAAGTCATATTTCAGTCAAAAGAAACCTTTCGTTATCACAAATCAACCTGCCAAATTTAAAAAAAAAAAAAAATGGAAAAATTTTTGAGCTGAAAAAACAATTTTTTCTAAAACTTGACACCCTGTATCTCAGAAACTACGCATTTCTGGTCACATATTTATGGGAACTTTTTTTGTTAAAATATCGTAAGGAATGACATCCTGAAGTTACGGACCGTACTTAGGAAATACCCTGTATATTTTTCTATTTTTTGACCACCCTGTTCATGCTATTTCAACTTTTAATACATAGTTTGATATTATTTTTTCAAGAAGCAGAAACTCTTATAAAGGATAACTTTTTTTCGTAAAATTGATAATAAAAAAGTTTCCCATGTGCTGCGAACTTAAGTGGATACACTGTATTTTATGAGAAAATTTCATGAATCAAAAATTCAAATTTTTTGTCAAAACACCAGTTCTCGCATTAGTTACTATGCAATAATTTACACTAATATAAATTATCACATAATTCCAATCTGATTGGTTCAAATCAACAATCAAAACATGTCAGTTTATTGTTGGTATATCAGTTTTGACAAATGTATGAAATTCTTATCAAAAAAACGGCCACTTAAATCAAAAATCGACGTATCCGAGATTTTTTGAAAAAAAAATCAACCTTGTATTTTTGATGGATTTTATTCCTAACCTTCACGTACTAACTGTATTTAACTATGCTATATGATATCCTCTTTCGTTTATTGAATTCTAGTAAAGTTATCTTTGTTCGTTTTGAGTTCATTATGAAATATATTCACCATAATTATTTACACAAACTAATAACTGGCCTTGCAGTCCTCTCGCGTCGTGTAATTTTTACTTACCCCGGTGCGAAATTAAATCCGCCAGAGGCAGCACCTCGCTGCAGCCAAAATTTTTGAATTTCCGTGTTTGCAGGGCTTACAATTTGAGACGAGATCTCAAAAACTACTTAATATTTTTGAGTGAATCAAGAAGATTCGAAAAGATAATAAAATTTAGAACAATGCTCTTGTTTCATTTTTTTTTAAAAAAGCGATGGGTTTGGATGTACCGAGCGATAGAAATGATGCTTTTTTTCGAGTATTTAGGTCGTGATATTTTCAATTTGCAATTTTTTTTTCGAAAAACTAAAACAACAGCATTATTCTTTAGATTTTTATCTTTTATTATTTTCTAATCCGGTCAAAAAATATTACAAAATAAGTGAGTTCTCGTCTCAGGAAATTAACCCTTTTTCTCAATTTTTAACGGCTTGTTGTTGGCCTCTTAAAACAACTCTTGCCTTTTTTTTTTCAAATAGAACCCCATTTTTATTATTTTTATGCACGAACGGGCGTAAAAGTGCACTTTTACGCCCGCATATTAAAGCGTGAAGTAGTACTTTTACGCCCTAGGGCGCCTTTTATGCCCGCGGGACTGAAAGTTTCAAAAATAAACAAAAATTCGTCATTTTTTTTAAAACTTTTCGTATTTCTATTGCTTAGTCCAAAAAATACCAACTTTTTTCAACAAACCAAGCTTTATTTCAATTAATAAGAATAATGAAATAAGCAATAATGGTAAAATTCAATCTACTTTGTAATTGAAAATACAATTTTTACAGTTTTTAATTTTTAAAACCGGCCCTTTTCCACAGAAATACACAAAAGAACTGTTGCCTTCAACATTGAGTAAAAGCTCCATAGGGTGGATGGCTTATTTTTTTTGCATTTTTCATATTAATGTATTATATGCCAGGCCAGGAGAGTTTCTTCTACAAAGTACTGCTGCTCATTTACACTATGTTGGGCACATCAGGAAATAAAGTCCTCATATGTTTTTTCATAGAGTCTTTTGGACTTTGAAGGTATACATGTTTCTTGGCCTTTTCAACCTCAAGAATGAACTTGTGCATGCTATTTTGCTCCATTTTCAGACGCACTACCATCATAAGAATACCATACACGTACACTACACAGCACATAATTATTTGTTTGTATTGTTCTGGGTTGCTATAATAGTTACGTGATACTTTTGTCAACAACTGCTTCCTTGATCTAAATTTGACAAAAACTTAGGACCTATTGCGGTAAAGATGAAAATTTAGATTTTGAAATATTTTTGATTGATGTCATTACAAAATTGAAAATATATAATTTTTTAAATATCAAAATGAAAACATGCTCATCGTGCATAAAATCTTGTATGCACCTCAGTCAAAAAGAGCTTTAACGCCCTCAGCGTGTAAACAGTTACACACGCTGCGGGCGTTAAAGCTGTACTTTTTGACCTAGGTGTATAAATAACTATTATTTTTGAATTTTTTTTCCTAGGAAACATGGAAAAACAAACTTTTCATACATCATTGAATTTGCAATTTCATGAGCTTCTCAAAAATAAAAATAAATAATAGGGGTGCCATTTGAAAAAAGGGTTGTAAATAGGGGATGATTTTGTCAGAGGAAGATTTTTTTATATTTTTGGAAAGAGGTTAACTATATTGGGAAATGGACTATGAAATGAAAGAACTTGTTAATTATCGATATTCAATATATTTATTATATCGAACACAGCGTGGAAAGCAGAGCGTGTGAACTCATAGAAATAACTATACGAACTGACTCAACATCAAGACAAAGACTTACAAACCGTTTCTTAAGTAAACGATTCCTCATCTGTTTACCTTACATATAAAAACTATTATAAACACATTCAGTCATCCATAGCTGCGATATAAATTAGCAAAGTATAGGCTAATAATCAAAGTTTAATTTATTAATTTTTGTTTCACTGATATGAATATCAGTTTATCCAACAAACTAACCATTAGTCATTTTTTTTTTGTTTCAAATTTTTATTTCTAAAAATAAGAAAGTTATGGTCTGTAACGCTGATTGTGGGACACCCTGTATATTATTTTTTTTTCTTTTCTCGCCTTTAATCCATATAAAAAGTTGCAATTAACATTGTATTAAAAGGATTTTTTTTTCACTACCTTTTTGTTTTTAGGGGTAGTTCGCCTATTTTCAACTTTACAAAAAAAAAATTATTGAGAAAACTTGTTCATTTTATGATTTGAAAATTAATATATACCCCTAAAAGCTAAGGGGGGTGAGTTACAAAAAAAGTTGATTAGGAAAAATTGTAGGAAATATTATCTTATAAAACTTTTATTAAGAAATTTTTTTTGTAAAAAAATAAATAAACTTTAAACTACCCCTATTGAAAAACGGCAGGGGGTGAATAAAAACTTCATAAAGCAAAAATGTTGTATGTGTTGTAGAAAATATTTTCACGTTGGTTAAATTTTTTCATTTTCATTATAAAATTTCAAACGGCCCTTTATGACCAAAGATGGCCCTTAATAAAAAATTTTTTAGATAAACATTGTAGATCAAATAATGTTGCACATCTTTTATTTGAAACATTTTTTGGTAAAATCAATAGGTACCAAGTAATCGCCAATAACGCACTTTCAACCCCTATAGCGCAAAACGCCAGAGGGGTGAATGTTTGATTTTTCGGTTTTATGATCATCCACCCGCCCCCTATCATCCCTGAAATGTTCATTTGGGTAGGAATTTTTTTTTTGCAATGCATGTATTTTTCGACTATTTTCCTAGACTACGAGTATTCACTGCACAAAATGGAATTTTTTATTCGATTCGATGGAAAATTAGACCATCTTTGCCAAGATAAAATTTTTGTAAAAAAATTTAACAAATGCATCACTTATTAGCATTGAATAAATAATATCATTTGGTTGCAATATTCTATGTTTTTCGCAAAAAATTGAGTCACTTTCTCTTTTTTCAATAATTATTATTTGCTTCACCTATGCCTTTTTTGAATCAAACAAAGTGCGATTGCAAGTTTTTTTTTCAAGAATTATTGCGTTAAAATAAATATTTATTTAGAATAACTAGTTTTGTATTTGTAATGCGGATCTGGCGAGACGCCTTGCTACAGGCGTGGATCGATTTCTATCTTCATCGTACTACTCATACCACACCAGTCACACCTCACACCTGCGTTCCACGTTTCACTTGTAAAGAGCAAGACTAAATAAATCAAGACTAAAAACTATATAGTCAAGACTGGTGAGCGCGATTGTGCAAGGGCGCAAGGGGCAGTAAATTACAAGTGAATGCAGTTTTTCGACTGTTTCGTGCTTCTGTTTCAGTGTGAAGTTGAAGTGCAAAATGGAGGTGGACACCTTTCCTAAAGAAAATAATCTCGGTCACCTTTGGCCTTTGTTCTACGGTAAGGAATTTGTGTTAAAATATTTATTCATAAAATATCATAATCATATCAGGTATATCTCTATGATGGTTTGGATTTAATAAACTACCACTTACTACAGTTCAAGTCATCATTACAGGATAAATGAAGTTTTTGTCCTGTTTCCTACAGATAATCCATTTCTCAAAAAAAATCATTTAATGTTCAATTTTATGGAAAAATGGCGTCGATATCCTTTAAAGGAGATTAGTTCTAGAATTATTGGACACCAACTTATATTTGTTTGGTTTCATGAGAATAATGACTTGCTTAATAAAAATAATATATATTCTCTAGAAACACATTGATATTTCTTTGAAAATATATATATTTTTATATTTGCTGTGCGATTTGTGTATATTCTTTTCAAATACATACTTATTATTTTTAGTAAGATTTTAGATTTTTTGTAGTGATCATTGAAACTCCTAATTATTACCTATGGTTTTAACAAGTTAAATTCCTAGTATATGGAAAACTTTTTGCAAGATACATACGTTTTGGTTTTGCGATTGTATTATACCTACCTGCACTCAACTCATGCGTTAAAAATTTTTTTAGCTATCAAAATAGAGGAAATGGAGATAGTCAGAAGCTTAAATGATGAGGAAATTGACTTTCTTACTGACAAAGTTCCTGGAGACAAAATTAGATTGAGGAAGCAAATTGATCTTTTGAAAAGTGGCAAGGTAGGCTGAATATTCATTCCTCAACTCATTAAACTTTTAATTATCTGCATTCGCCTTCTTTAAATACTTCATTTAATTTAATTAGACTATTTTTAATAATAATATTTTTTTATTTATTGTAGAGAGAGATTTCTACAGAAATACTCCACCTTCCAGAAACAAAAAAACCAAAAATTATGAATTTTGAACAAGATGATGAAGCTAGGCTGGTGTTGACTGAAGTCAATCAGTCAAGTGATAATGGAATAACCGGAGAAAATCCCAACATTTTCAACGAGGATTTATCGTCCCAGAATACAGGCAGTCAGATGCAATTTTTGTTTGTAAATCCAATACAAGCAAGCACATCAGGAGAGGTTGATCTTCGGCAACTATTTTCTGAAAATGTACTTGGGCAAGCCCTAATTGAAAAATCAAAATCCAGAGGTCTTATAAATGCGGATAGGGACAGAATAAGTGACATTGTTATTACGCACTGCCTCAACAAATTTGAAAAAATGGACCATGCACAATTCGATCTTTTAGCGGAAAATCTTGCAAAGCTTTTCCCAACTGAAAAAAAAAGTACATATTTTATACCACCAATTAAGAAAAAGGACTCGAGACGCAAGAAATCGGAAAGAGCGCGTGGTAAGCTGGTTGAAAAATACAGGAACAAGCGGCACCTTTTAAAATCCTTATCAACTCAGACAAATGGAAACTCTGATGATGACGATGATGCTGTAAATATATTAAAATCATCAGGTATAGTTTTATTATTAAATATTTGTATTTTAGAATCATTATACAAGTATATTTCACTCTTATTTAAAATTAAATTTATTTTCAGAAGTATCACAAGAGGCTAAGAATAGTCAAATAATTTTGAAAAACAATCCTGATTTACCACCAGCAGAGGTTTCAGTTTATTGGAGGCAATCGTTTTCTGTGAGGAAATTGATAACAAATACGGAAATAGAAAAATACTTGGATGACTGGCCTGTACTAAAAACGCAGCTAGCATATGAACTGGTAAGTTTGTACCTACCTATTAAATAATAATAAATATATAAATAAATATATAGTTGAAAGCAAAAAGTTTCCCATACATTTTAACCTATTATGTTTATTATGTGAAATTAAATTGATGGCACAATTATTTTCTGAACATTTAAATAACAAATATAAGTGAACAATATAATATTTTATCACATCAGAAATTTTATAATGAAAGTCTAGTATACAGGGTGTATCAGGTATGAGTACAAATATTTTAACATGAGATAATATGGCCCATTTCAAGCTAAAACTGTCCTATTAACAATGGGTCAATTGTTAATATTTTCGGAGTTATCGCAGAATTTAAGTTTAGGAAAATGTTAACAACGTGACAACATTGTACAGGTATTATCTCTGCCAGGATATAGATGTAAATAAAACTGGTGAATTTTTTTTTTTGCATGGAGTTTATTTATTTCCATCTGTTTACGTTTTGGTCTGTTATTGGCTTTTGGCTTTCAAATGATGTAAATAATAACTTGTATTTTTATCACTTTTCTAGTCAAAATAAAAAACTTGTGAATTGCACTCAATGACATTTTTGCACTAAACATTCAAGAGAAAAATCAAATAATACTTACTCAGCTACTTGCCAAATCCTTATTATGGAAATATTAAATTTTGTTAAAAGGTTCTCAAAACACTAAAATCAGCACAGCAGATTTTGGACACTCACACTTCCTGTATCACGCAATCTTCGTAAAACGGGCACAATGTTCTTTCATCAGGTGGGTGCTGTTCTTCTGGGAAATTTTTCCCTAGTTTCCCTGTAAATTCTGGTGGCTAAATGAGCATTTCGTAACGATTCTGCCTAAACAAGTATCTGCATATTCGACGTTTGTAAACATTTTATTTTCAAAAAAGAATGAATTTGAATTACGCGCGCTTCCCAACTAGACAAGACAAATCAAGAATCAATTTATTCAGTTCAACCAAGGTTCAAAGTTCCATCACCTACTCTTAATTGTGCTATGTTGCCAGATGTTTAGACACCGATTTACAAGTGAAATTTTCATGTTGTTTTTTTAATTTTTTGCTATTGTTGTTGACTAAAAATGCATAATTACTCAATAATTAAATAAACTAAATTTGTTTACATCTCATAATGATTAAAATTTTCTTTTTTTAAAATATTCGTCAAAAAATGTCCAAACTTCGAAGACCTTTTTTTTTTTTAAAAAAATGGTTGAGTTTGGACCCCATGTTGTATAAACTTATTTGTTCAAAATGGGCCATATTTTCACGTGTTAAAATTTTTGTAGTCAAACCTGATACACCATATATTAAATGAACATTTCTTTTTTCCAGATGTCCTATGATTTTGAACAAATTCACAAATCTGTTAATTATTTGCCTCTGCAAGAACAATTTGACAAATTATTTGACCAAGTATTTTGTTCAAAACATGGCAGTTTGAACTCAACAGACAGCTCCATCGCTAAACTCTTGAAAGGTGGAATAACAACAGGTATGGAAACATAATACAGAGTTTTTTCGTAGAAAAGATGAAAAAGTATTCCAAATTCAACACCCTGAATCTCCTCTTTTTATAATTCAGGCTAAACTGAAATAAGATACTAAACTTTTCATTTCATATAAAAATTTAGTGGATAAATGGTAGAATAATCAGCAATTGCATAAGTAATGCAATATACTATAATTAGGAATTTTTTCTCCAGATTCCAAGAACTCTATAAAACTATACCTCTTGTCGAGTCTCCTTCCATCCAAGGCAAGAACTAAATTGAAAAACAAGAAACAGTGGAAGCCATCCATAGCTGAGACTCGAGATGCAATATGTGTGCATGCAAATACACCAGAGGATGTGGATGAGCTTAAAAATCTACGGGTAGATATAATGTCTGAAAAAGGACTGACAGTCCAACCATATATTATTTTAATTGGCCCCAACTTGGGAAATATTACATCGTCTCTAGTTATTATCAACGAGATTCAATACAAATGCAACACGGTTCTAGAAGCCTTAGACTTTTGTTTTAAGGCGTATCAGGTTTTAGAAGCCAAATATCCATTTGAGGCTGAGCATTTGTGGTACCTGATACAATGGTCGATTTACAATTACGAAACTAAAAATGATATTACATTCCCATTTTTAAATGAATTTTTGTAAATCTTGAAATATCTTTTTTTTTTTCTCTTATCTCCAGTGAAATGTATACTTTTAGCCCAAGAAACTTATACCTGGGCCGCAACAAATTTTGCGAGGGCAGGCTGATTTTTCCAGGGCTGATTGGGGACTGGGTCCTGAGTAATGAGCCAAAAAATCACACTCGAAAGCCTTGTGCGTTCGGCCCTATTGGCCTTTTTCTTATTTATTTTTTTTTCGACAAAATGACCTCCACAAAACTTGTAGATAATTACATTCTGATCAACTTTGCCTCATGACTTTTTTTGCTAGCTATACATAATAATAGCTATTTGTGTATTAAGAGCGCAAAGTGATACTTTGCCGATCGAAAGATATTGTTGATATTGGCAAATAACTTGAGATCGGCAAAAGGCACTTTTTGCTCGTAATGCACACTTGATTTTTCTTTTACAATCGCATTTGATAAAAAATAGTTCAGGTTCAAAGAAACCAGTAGTAAAAGCAAGCGCTTTTACTACTTTGCCGCTCTAGAGCGACAAAGTGAAGGATTTTGACGTAGTTTGACGCTCTAAAGCGGCAAAGTGGAAGTCATCAGGAAACGTCTACTTTGTGAGCACAAATCTAATCGACAAGACCGATTGTAGAAAAAAACATTTTGTCACTTTTGAAACAGGCAACAGGTCTCAGTATTGTCAAAAAAAGCATCATTTCGATTTCACGCTTTCACTCCGGAAAAATGATTTCACCGAATTATTGATGTAATGTATCATTTCCTGGACTGAAACCGATAACGTAATGGAGTATATTACCAGTATAAAATAAATGGCCATTTTAGTGTTTTACTTTAGGTGGGTGTTATGTGGAATTGCGCTCCTTTTTTAGATGGACACGGTGCAGATATTTCAGGCAGGTCGTTGCAGTCGGCAATGGTCAAAATATCGTCGTTGCTTGTCGTGCTCGTTGGCGAAGGTTCATCTGCTTCTATATCGTTAATATCTTCGTCATCGTTGTCACTTTACTCCTCGGCAAGTGTTGGTAACTGTGGAACGTTTTCGCAGGTTTCCCCTACACAATTTTTACAAATCGCTGTGCACTTTAGCCTGGCTTTGCGACAATCGCAAGCGGATCGGCATGGTGCTTCGCATTTGCAGGAAATGAGATTCAGCAATGCCGGTGGAACTGGTACTTTGTGTGTCTTGCAGGGCATCCAGCCTGTACTTTGCTTTTCCCAACCCCACTCTTTTGGATCTAGGTAATTTCCCAGCCACATTTGCATTTGGTGATATGTGCGTAAAAAGTGATATTTGGCCGATTCTGTAGTAGGTGGGAGGGTAGCAAGATTTGTTTTAATTTTTGACGTAGACCTTACAAAACATTTGTAACGCAAAGAGTTCAGGGAATCTTCCTTCATGCTCCCTCCATACAAAGCAATCATTACACGCTCTCCTGCAAAGGCCACCGTTTGAGGATCGCATATTTTCCTGTAGAAGGACGATATAAAGTTTTCCAGCGAGGGCTCTTTCTCACCTGTGGATATTAGTTTTGCCTTACCCACACCAAAAAAGTAGGATGTGGAATCGCATCCACTGAAGGCATGAAAAAACACATTTTGCAGATGCCTGAAAGGCCGTACAAGCAAAATAATAAGGTGTCGATAAAATATCATCAAACAAAGTAGTAGAGCATGTTATTATGTACAATAATCTGCAGGTTTGCTATTTAATTTTTTTTGCGAATTCTGAAGCACTAAAATGGTTGCAACGCTTAAACTAAAATAGCTAGCAAAAAAAGGCATGAGGCAAAGTTGATCAGAATGTAATTATCTACAAGTTTTGTTAAGGTCATTTTGTCGAAAAAAAATAAATAAGAAAAAAGCCAATAGGGCCGAACGCACAAGGCTTTCGAGTGTGATACTCAGGACACAGTCTCCAATCAGCCCTGAAAAAATCAGCCTGCCCTCGCCAAATTTTTCGAAAACCAAATAAATGTATTGGGCTATTTTTCTACCTCTCATTATGAAGGCTTCTCGATTTTTTTGTTTTAAGTGTGGGAAACTTTTTTTTGCTCACGCAACTTTAATACGCCATATAAAAGTCTCGTACTCCTATCTTGAGAAATATAGTTGTGGCCAAAAACACTGCAACCGTTCATTCAATAACATTGCTGGTTTACGCAAGCATTATATTTCACATTTGGCTACAGTTTCTTCACCCCGACCAATTTGCAATAATGTTAAAATTGTGAACCCCGAGGCATCTTTTTCGTATCATAATGTAAAGAAACTTCTGATACAGATGAAAAAAATAGTAATTCATTATTACCAACTGCAGACAATTCATCATTCTCCAGAAATCTTGTTCAGACAGTAATTGATCACACCAGAAAGTTAGTAAACGATTTAACTAGTGCCATTGAAGCTCAAAAACCTGATGATAATAGTCAAAGTGAATCTCAAATAAATATTCGTGATTCTTTAAAACCTGTGTTTGACAACATAGATCATACTTTTAAAAGTTTTAAATCAGAATATTTGAAATTAAAATTTTTTGAAAATAATTCTTCTTTTATAAAACCCAACCAATTTAATATTGGGACAACTTCTTGTCTGAACAATATTGACTCAACAGTGCCTCCAGATTTTAAAATAAAAAATCTGCCCTAAAAAAAAGTTAAAACAATTTTTGGAGCTACCAAACGTTTGTGGTGATATTACTTCCTTTAATGCTGAAGAAAAAAGTTCACAAGATGTAATAACTAGTGTATATCAAGCCAACCTTTGGAAAACTATGGAGTTAAATTTTGCTGGAAAAACTATATTTCCTCTGTTTCTTTTTCTCGATGATTTGAAGCCTTGTAATGCATTAGGTTCTAGAACTGAAATATATAAGCTTGGTGTCGTTTATATATCTTTAGCATGCGTTCCATCAGAATATGCTTTACTTTTAGAAAATATTTTTTTGGCCCGAGTGTTTCATTCTGGAGATCGGGAAACTTTTGTAAATGCCAAAGTGGCCAAAGTATTTTCAAGCTTAATTTAACAGTATTAGAAACTTTAGGTTTTAATACAAATGCGCAAGCTTTTGAAGTAATTTCTAAGTCTGAAACATTACGCCGGGTTTATACGTTTGATAAACTATTTTGTCTATTAGTATACATTTTACTGGAAACGGTAAAAAGGTGATAAGCCCAGTTTAGTTCGTAAAATACAGACCTTGTTTCAAGTTTCAGAAGATTTATTTATTTTTTGTTATATTAGTCAGTAGGTTAGTAGAATTCGAATATTGATTTTGGTTTATTCGATGAAATTTTAATTTATAGTTATTACTGTAGGTAAAGGTACCTACAGTAAAAATAATGAGGCCTTTGAATAGTCAAATAGACAAAAAATTGTCTGTTTATACCTCAGAGTAATACTACATAAATAGAGAGGGCAAGTCATTCATAAAGTCATTTGGTTTCTGCGGCCAACAATCCTAAACGACAATAGTGGATTAATGAATGGAACTACATGGAGTGGGGATAAGATTGCGGACAATGCGGGCCAATCACAAACAAAACCCGTTTGACATTTCTTACTATGAATACTACAGCGCATTCGCGATAATGGTCGGGCTTGCTTCGGCAATATTTGCATCCTTCTTTATCTGGTTATCTTAACAAAGATAAAACGATTCAGGTGGGCGTTCCTAGACGAATACAACCAGGCTCCCAGATTTTAGGCAGTGTTGCCATTTTCAGCTAGCACAAAATCTTATTCAAATTTTATTGTGATTATAGATTATTATTTTATATAATAATTATTCCCATTCAATTTTGGAAAACACCGCGATATTTTATGTTATAATTGTATATACGTATACCTTTCTAGATTTTTATATTTACGATAAATTTTTTTCAATTTCCAATTCCATTTTCCCCTCGATTTTCCCTGCAACTTAGGACAATTTATAAATATGGCACATCTGCAGTAAGTGTCCGCAAGTGATCTTAGAATGGGAGTCAATGTTTGGGGCATCTTTTAATCATAATAAACCTATCTATTTCATGTGTTAATCTGGGGTTTATACATTGAAACTATTATCTATTCACAATCCGATGTCCATAGGTACAGGTAAATTTATCACCTTTCCCTATCAAATAGCATTGACAGGTGATAAATTTCACCTGTACCTTTGAACTACAGATTGTGGATAGGATATACATACTTTTATAAGTAGAAAAAAAATCTTATTTCGTTTTTTAATGAGAGGAAATTTTTTGTTTGTGAGGAACTATAGGTACCTATCTACTTTAGAATTTGTATGTTGTATTTTCTTTTAATGTACCTATGTTTTTCCTAGCAAAGAAGATATTTTGTTTATTTTTTTTTACATCTTTAATATGCTTAACCTTAAAGAGAAGTTCAAATAAACGCTTGCGCAGTTTTTTTGTTACAGGAATGCAACGTGTTGTCAGAAAGTTTTATGTTTATACATACTTTCATTCTTAGTTAGAAGGCTCGGTGTCATGCAAAAAAATAATATCTACCTTTTCCTCAAATATCGCGCAATACAAAGACAAAAAAATTTGAATTGGTAATTGGTAATCAAGTTCTAAGGCTTTTTATAGGTGGTTTGGTTCCCATCCCCAATTCATCAACGAAGCTGTTTATTAATGGTAATTTACACACGAACTATAATTTTCCATAGAGCGGTTGATTTTTGAACTAAAGAAGTTTCTCACTGTTAGTTGATGTGTACAGACCTCGGAGGAGGAGAATCACAAAATTATTAGTTTTATAATGGTTTACAAATTCTTGTGTAATATTAAATATCACTTTAAGGCCTGGTTTATTCATCTTCAGATAAACTTGCTGGTAAGATGGCAAGATAAATTTACGGTTCTTTAATTCTATTGGTCCGCGGTTAACTGGCTGACCAATGAGATTACAGATTGCGTTGTTAAACGTCAGATTGCATGCCTGACAGTTTATCAGAAGGTGAATAAACCGGCCCTAAGGAATGTATAGTTAGTAATTATTTTTTAAAAGGGTCATTATTACTATAATTGATTATTTTTGTATAAAAAAATAGAATTGTTATGTGCTTTCTCAGTTTATAGAAATTATTATATTATAATTGTTTTAAAAGTATGATCGTAGATCACTGAAAAATAGAACTTACCCAAAGTTTGTTTCGCCAGGGTTTGTAGTGTACTTGCCACCAGCATTTGCCTTTCTTGTTTAACAAATGAAAATTGACTGGAACAAATCAATGACGTCAAAAACGTTCGTCGGTTCTTAAACCAGAAGTCATTCATTTTAATTTGTCAAAAAATTGAATGTGTCATATGAATTAATCTACGACAACCTTTTTTTTTCAAGTTTCAAGGTCAAGTATGAACCCTGGTGAAACGGACCTTAGGTATATTTCAAGATGATGGTAGCCTTTTGTCGTTAGCAGTACCATCGTTATGCTACAGGCGCTAACTTGAGTTTTTCTCTTTGCTATCCTAACCACACTAATGCGGTCTAAAGAACTAAATGCGTTTATGGATAGAATAGCAAGGAAAAGAAACATTAATTTCTTTTTATATAATTCAAGCATGTAATCTTAAATAAAAATACAAAAAAGCTTTGGAAATTTTATTAAGAACAATCCCTCGACACATTCCGCTCTACGATACATCGACAGTACATCAGTAACATTGAAGTAGGTACTCTCTGAAACCTTAATTTAACCATAATCAGAGTTTTTATTGTTTAACATATCAAAGAATGTTCTATATAATTGGGTATGATACCTATATGTATAAAGATAATTTTTATTAGCAGTGCAAATGAGAGATACAAAAAACTTTCAGTTTAAGTATCTATTATAGTGTGTTTAAGTGGCAAAAAAATCTATCCGCAGAAATTTATTATGTTGAAACCTCAGACTAGAAACGGCGAATTTTTGAAAAATCGTTTAGACACGTTCAAATTCCTTTGGTTGACATTGCCGTTTGAACAAGAAGTTAACCAAACACTTTGCTCAAAACGCCAGGGCTGGAACTCTGTAACGAATAGAGATATTTTCTCTATCTCTATTGACGTCTCCTCTCTATTGATTTCGACAAGGAAGAAGAAGACAGCAAGTGCCATAGCGATAGGTATAACGATCCTTATCCGTTAGAGAGTTCTACCCCAGACGCCTGTCATAGTCGCCATCAGAAAGTTCTTGGATGGAATTGCACATAGATATTTATTTGCGTGTGAGATTTAAACAACTGATCCTGTAGCAACTTTAAGGTTTCTGGCTAGTACTTTATGACCAATGGGTGGCTGATCGTTACTTGGATCATCCCGGACATGACTAAGTTGAAAAAATGTTCGCGCAATCCTGATGCTTACTGTAGATTGGCAAATTGTCTGATTGGAATATTTTCTGTTAAATTGCCATATCTTATCATTCTTAGTTTGTCTATTTTTTGCGTCTCGGTTAGTTTCATACTTATATATCAAAAAACTAGACCTTGAAAACCAAAAAATGTTCAAAGGCCAGTTTAATGTTGCAACAAGATTGTCCAGAAAATGGGCATTAGCTGTGTTGAATGGAACGTTATACACCTGATTGATGTTTTCAATTACGCATTCTATAGTATATATTCTGACTATTTATATACCTATGTAATTTGACTCTCGGTAGGTACAAGTAGTAAAGTATTATTCTCTATTTTAGTCTATAAAAAAACGGGAACTGAACCGAATAAATATGAGAAACCACTAATTCCGCTTAAACGTTCTGGAACTATTGATATACGTGATGGTTATTTATATAGAATCCTCAAGAAGCATAAAGACAAAACGTAAGTAATTAGGTTAATATTAACTTCTATATAGGCCGTGTTCGTTATTTTCATCTTTTTCGTCGATTTTCTCCGAAATTTTGACAGGCACGTGACTGGATCAGACAATTTCAATTTACAAAATCACGTGCCTGTCAAAATTTCGGGGCAAATAGACGAAAAAGATGACAAAAACGAACATGGCTATAATAATTATTATACAAGGAATATGTAAGTATATACAGGAAAAAGCCTTATATTTATAGAAAAAAACGGTTCTCCTGAAAATTGGCGCTATGGTAGGGTGAGTCCAAGAATCTCCTAGTTACCATCTTAAACTAAGAGGTTGGCTTATGTGTATCTCCTTTTTCATTATAAGTTCAAAAAAATTGTATCCGCCATTTATACAATTTTTCCTCTTGATTTTTTTCTGTAAAGTAAATATTTCTTAACTTATGATAGAGTCGAAAAGGTTGATACAAATTAATTGATTATTTGAACTTTAAGACAATATAACCTAGGGTCGCGGACTTCAAAAAATTAAGATATTGTGTAGTCCCTTCATGTGCAAATGAAACCACTCAAAATCCAACAAACAATAATTTTATTTGATATTTACCAATGTTATATGTAACATAGAGTAACAGTAAATGTTACTTTCTGTAAAATTTTAGTGTTGACAGCTTTGGTTTTCCGGTGAATCTGATACCGTGAACCTTTCCAATCCGGAGCTCTTCAATGGGTGTTGGGGTTTCGCTTTCGTGAACCGGAGCTCTTCGTGCTGTTTCCTGTATCCAGGAAGAGGATAGAATGCTGGGGTGACGTCACTCCAGCTGATCCAGACTCCAAACAGTTATCTTTATGTGGAATAGTTACCTAGAAAAGAATAAGGCAGTATCAGGTTCACCAATATTTGGAATATTAAATCCCTGAATTCTGTCAAAAAATGAGTGTCTTGCAAAGGAAATTGAAATTGAAATTTAATATAAAACGATTGTTGTACAGAAACTTCCTTCCAACAGAATCAGGCATGAACAGCTATTGCTAACGGAAAAAAAAAAATTTCATGTAAAAAAATACAATTAAATAATTAAGAATAATGGTAAGATAATAATAAAATTAAAATAATAACAAGATTAAATTAAAATGCTCGTTATGATTGAGCAAAATGCTGCTTTCCTGACAGCAGCTCTGGCAGGCAAAAATATGAACAAAATAAGGAGAAACAATAAGAAATTAAATCTTTGGATTCTCCCCCAAATAGACAAAATTTTGCTTTTAAATTAAGGTAGCCACAATAGATACTACAAGATAAACCTGACGGTGAAATCAATCAAATCCAGAATATGTCAAAATTCTTGAGATGTTTTAATTAAAACGTTTTAACTGAATGTTTGACCTGTCTGGATTTCTATTAAAAAATATCACACACTTTAGTCAAGATAATAATTGACGGAGCAGAAAATGGCTATTCAGGCCTCTGCCTGGATTCAATAAAGAGTTGATAGGGATGGACACACAAATTTGGTTTTCACCGACTCTATTTAGAGCAAATGGTCCAATATTCCCACACTAATAATTGATTCTGAAAACCAGAGCAGCAGTACCTATATATTAGTCCAAAAGTCTGAATTGACTTACCTCAGATAAACGTGGCACTACCAATCAGCACTCACACAAAATGGAAGCCAACCATTAGATAAAATAATTAAAATATAATATTTATGTTTCAAGAATAGATAAGATCAGATTTATTAGGTAAAAACTTAATAATGATATGATAATATGAGTTGATAGCTAAATATATTGAAAAATCTATAAGGGAGAATCTAAAAATACAAAGCAAAAATTATTCAAAATAAAGAGGACTAACAGACTTCTCTCGAGGAAAGAAAACGTTTTAGAAACCGAAGCCCACAGGAAAACGATCCTGTGTTTTTTATACTTAACTGCATTTTAACCAGATCAACCAATCAGACAAGTACACCCAAAAGATCATATTCACTTTTCAATGAAAACACAATGAAAACCCACGTGGAATAAAAAAGAATAGATAAAAATCCACTAGAAATATTTTAATTGTTTACAAATTATAATAATTTAAATCAAGGTTATGTCAAAAATAAAAAACTGTTAATTAATTAGGTCATTAAGCTAAAAAATGATTATTTCAGAATCAGAAGTTAGAGAAAGACAGAAATATATCCATTTGCTAAAAGTGAGATAAATATGTATAATTTCTTTCAATGAAAATACAAATGATTGTCAAATGCGAAATAATTAAAATCATACTTTGAAAAATAAATCCATCAGGTACTAGATGGCAGTAGGTACCTTCATTTAATAGATATTTGCATTTTACGCCCATGATGGATAGATGGCAGCACTTGTATTATTTTGAACTTTGTTGATATTTTTAGAATATTAGGAATTATTATTTTGCTGATTCTGAAATGGAAAAAAAATACATCTTTATAATGAAAATAAGAAGAGATGGAACATGTTACGTAAATGATAAATTTATCGTAACAAGGTATCGGGTGATTGTCTATATTTTGCAACCATACCAATCTCACCTGTTTGAAGAGATACTCAGGAATGTCAAATGTGGAAGTTGTAGGTAATATCAGAAACTTTGCAATGAAGTTGATTACAAGTATACAGGGTGTGTCACTAAAGTGTGGCGAAGCAAAGTTATACTTTTTTAAATGTGAACACCCCGTATATTATTGACCTATTGGATTAGCCTTTGAAACCTGATTCCAAATATACTAGGTTTTTTAGGTTTATTCCTCATAGTCCAGCCGCTGAATATCCCATTTTGAAGAAATAATATGGATTTTTACTTGAATGATTATTGTTCGTCGATGTTTAACTGACACTTTCCGTATGATGAGCGAGGGAGTGTTTTATATGGCAAAAACAGGTGTGACCTCATAGGTAACCATTGGCGTTCTAATGTAGGGAGCCACCAGCTCACATTCCGTCCGAGTATCAGATTGAAATCGACGGACAATACCTACCTGATTTTGCTGGTGTTCTGTATACTTCACCTTTTTCAATGAAAATGTAATAATTATTCCAGCCGTATTTTGCTTATTTTAACCCGACTATAAGAAATAAACCTAAACAACTTAGTTTATTTGGAATCAGGTTTGGAAGTCAATGATATACTGTTCCATTTAAAAAAGTTCAACTTTGCTTGGCCACACTTTTGTGACACACCCGGTATACTTGTAACCTCGTTGCAATGTTTCTGATATTACCTACAACTTTCACATTTGACATTTCTAGGTACAGGGTGATCTATTATAAATGTCACCCCTTCTAACTTTCTCTATGTTGTCGCTTTTCCGAGTTATCTGGATTTTACAAAAGGGTCGCAGGGCTTGCGTTGATTAATGGTGGGTAGCCTTATATAAGCGTTGCTGAAATACCCTGAACAAAACTTCCAGCCGTCAGCTTTAATATTATCAGAACTAACTGTTTGAAGGTACCTCAAATGCTGTATGGTTAAAGAATTCAGTTGTAAAGCCTCGTACGTTCTGGAAAAAGCATCTAACGAAATCGGCATGGATACGTACAGGTGCCTTGCGACTCACAACCATCCAGCCAATGAGTTAACTGTACAATCTACCAGGTTTATGAACGACTTAGAGCGAGCAGTTCAAAGACTTCCTGGAACAACAAAAGATATTTTCAATCATGTTATTGAGAGGTAAGAATCATATGAATTGATTATTATTTCGTTCACGTTTGAAACATTCTGCTTGCATCGTAAGAGAATGTTTTGGGCTGAACTTTTACATCCATTTTACATTATCAAGATATAATATCTTTGTACTTTGAAAGGTATCCAGACGTAAAGCAGCTTTACACATACAGCAACGTGATAGGAAGAATGCATCATTGGCTGAAAAAATATCGTCGTCAAAAAAACATAATAGCAAAGCCAGCATTAGAAAGTAAGAAACAGATGATTGCTGGGCGACTCAGTATATAGTCTATATTGGAATTTATCGGGCAGGGTTGGATAGCCCAGCGGAGAAAGGGTCGGGGAGTGGTAATTTTTGATTAGAGTTTAAAATGAACATCATTGTCCATAAAATGTCGGCTATTCCAAGACTTATTGTTATTGTATTTATATTTCAATCAAACAGAAAATAGCTATTAATTTTTACAATCAATAAAAAACTAGTGGATAGGAAGAACATATCCTAAGCTGTACGAAATTCATGCATGCAACGTTGATCGTCCATTTAGTATCGATTTTTTTATTCAGTGAATTTTTCTTTCCTGCAATTAGCTATGTAAACTTTAAAGTTTGGGTTAGTTTGAACTCTAAAGTTCAAAATTTAGGACTTTATACTTATAGTAGGAATGGTGTTTAATAGTTATTTATACACCAAGTGAGTTAAATGAATGTTTATTCATAAGAAGAAATTTTAACCCACGAGCCCTAGCGAGTGGGTTAATTTTCTTCGAATGAAAAAACATTTTAACTCACGTGATGTATACAAAATTTTATCCCATTTTGTGGAAATTTGAAAAATAAAGTACAAGGAAAAATGCCGGGTGTGAATTAAAAATATTTTAAATCACTGAGGTTTCAGATTTTTAGTTGGGCAGAGTGACTTAAAATGCCGAGAGTGAGTTAAAATGTTTTTAAATCACTGAGGTGATAAACGTCTACTTACCTTTATTGTTATGCGTTCAATAATGTCATTTTTAAATGTCAAAATGGGATAAAAAATATTACCTAATCTATGAAACAAGAATCCTTTTTTTTCGCATTTTTTGTATGTATAAAAACCTTACTTGAAAAGCAAATTAAACAAATTACATAATATAAAAACAATACTGGTATGGCTTTTTTTTACTACTAACCTGAGAAATTGTCATTATTCAATCTATTTTTCTAGGAAAAAATTGAATTTCTCTCCCTAGGTGAATAATGAAAATAATGAAAAAATACCTAGGTTAATAATGAAAATGACGTCATGACGCAAGGATATTGTCATGTTTCTATTGGTTCAATTTCATTTCCATACGTCAATTTGAAAAAAAATACAGGTTTCTGTAGGTACATAGGAAGTTATCATAAGCTGTTGATAGAGGGCAGCACTTTCAAGAGGGCGTTCAAAAAAAAAAAATTGGAGCACAGATTTTAAACAAATTTTTCATTTTCTACTAGCAGTAGTAAAAAAAATTCTATATATTCCTCGGTAGAGAAAGTCATTATATACCTCACTCATTATAAACCTCGGCGCGAGCGCCTCGGTTTATAAAAGCGCTCGGTATATAAGGACCAACTTCTCTACCTAGGTATATAATATACTATTATTTTCATTTGTAAAATATTGGGATGCAGGAACCCTTTTCCCTGAAACGGATAAAAACTTGACATAATTAACAATATGATGCCTCTTAAACACACACATGCCGGCCCAGGGGTTTTGCTAGTTCCTCCATCGGGCGCCTCCCCAGATGCCGGATAGGGGAATGCTTCCCAGATATAGGGGGTGGATCAAAAACTAGCACCCATATTGGGCGGTTGCAAGTGCGTCTGACCCAGAATGGGCAGCCAAAAAATAAGCCAATAAATTGGCATAAAAGGAAGGCAACGGAATACCACGTTTATTATTTTCCCAAGTATTCGAAGTTGGGAAACTGGCAAACCTCACACGAGAAATGAGCAGACTCAAACTGGATATCCTAGGTGTTGCTGAAACCTGATGGCCTAGTGTGAGAAGATGCAATGTGGATAACGAAGTATTCTTCTACTCTGGTAATGACGATCCAAAACATAGAAAAGGTGTGGGAATTGTTATAACAGAAGAACTACTGGAATCTGTCGTGGACTTTGTTACATACTAGGACCGCACTGTTTTTGAAACTCAGAGCCAAGCGAAGTGATCTTTATACAGGTATATGCACCAACTGCGGACTCCCATGATGTGGAGAAATTTTATGATGAAGTCAAGGAATTGCTAAAATTGACTAAAAAACATGAAGTCAACATAATTATGGGTGACAATACCAAAATAGGAAAGGGTAAATTTGAGGAGTTACTTGGATCGTATGGTCTTGAAAAAAGGAACGAGAGGGGTGATCGACTCTTACAATAAATTCTGCCAGGAGGAAAGCATGGAAGTGACAAATACATGGTATCAACTTCACCCTCGCTGACTCTTTACCTGGAAGTCCTCAGCGGACCGTCCACACTATGTAGTGCGAAACCAAATAGATTTCATCCTGATCAACCAAAGATTCAGCTCAACCATGAAGAGATCCGTCACATATCCTGGGGCAGATGTGCCTTCTGTCCATGTACTGTTGGTGGCCGTCTTGAAAACCTCTCTGTCAATTCAAAGGGAGCCAACCACACAGCGACGGATGGTGTTAGAAAAATTGAGGGACCCAATAATAAAATCTTGATAACACAAATACAAACAATAACATCGAATATTGGAGAAGAGCCAACACAAGCCTGGACAAAGATAATGGACATTGCAACTAACTCAATGCAAAACAGATTAGGATGTAAGGCAAAGAACAAGAAACAAAGATGGATGACGGATGAAATTTTGTTGTTAATGGATGAACGTCGAAAGCACAAGAACAAAACAGACAGCAACATATACAAGAATATTCAAAGACTCATAACATTAGAATAGCAAAGAACGAATGGCTTAAAGGTGAATGCTCAGAGATAGAGCAGCTGCAAAATCAACACGATGTCTTTAACCTGCACAAAAAACTGAAGGAGACTGTCGCCATACATAAAAAAATGAGACCAACTATAACAGTAAATATTAACAGATAGTCCTCGACAGTAAAAAGAAGAACAATGTTTGGGAAAGGTATATCGAAGAACTTTTTGACGACGACAGACCCGCAGCTGGTATCAATAACTCTCTAACCTAACCGCTCCATCGGTCACTAAGGACGAGATCGAAAGTGCCATACGTGATTCAAAAAATAACAAAGCGGCTGGCCCAGATGAAATCTCTTCAGAACTACTTAAACTCCTAGATGAAAGAGGCATCACAGCACTACATAAATTATTCAACTCTACTTATGAGACAGGTCACTATCCCAAACAGTGGTTGTGCTCTACTTTTATACCTCTGCCTAACAAGATCAATGCACGAAAATGTGAGGACTTATTAGCCTGATGAGCCGAGCCATACTTTAAAAATATTTCTTGAAATCATACACCAGAGAATTTACAAGAAATGTGAAAAAGACATGCGACAAGCGACTCGCAATTTGGGTTGAGTTCAGGCAGGGGTTAGGTACACAAGAAGCGATAGTCGCAACACAAGTGCTTGTCCAAAACTGCTACGATCAGAGAAAGTATGTGTGCCTATGTTTCATAGATTACGAAAAGGCATTCGATCGCGTATAACACCACAAATTAATGCTCCTCAATAAGCTTGATATAGATCAGAAAGACATTAGATTCATTGAAAACCTATACTGGAACCAAACAGCGCAAATCAAATTAGGCAATAATGTCCAACACCATGTAGATTAGAAGAGGAGTGCGACAGGGACGTGTGCTGTCTCCGCTCCTGTTCAGCTTATATTCGGAAGCGATTTTCCAGGAGGCTTTGAAAGACGTGGAAATGGGAGGCAAAGTTAATGGAGTGTCGATTAACAATATCCGCTATGCTGACGATACGGTCTTAATTGCTGATAACATACACGACCTACAACAACTAGTCAAGGTAGGGGAACAGAGCAAATCAATATGCTTAAATATCAACACCAAAAAAACAAAGTTTACGATTATCTCTAGAAACCCAAATATGTTTGAAAACTCCACCATAACATTTAACGCAAGGCCCATAGAGAGAGTAGATAAGTTCAAGTACTTGGGCGTCTGGCTTTTCGAAGACTGAACATCAGACAAGGAAATAAAATGTTGCATTGAACAAGCTCGATCGGCATTCTTGAGGTTTCGAAGAGTGCTTACCTGTTTCGATTTCGGCCTTAATCTTAGACTCAGATTTATTTAATGCTACGTTTGGTCAGTGCTTCTTTACAGTATGGAAGGTTGGATATTAAAGGTGACTGCAATTAACAAATTAGAGGCTTTCGAGATGTGGCTGTATCGCAGAATCCTTAAGATACCTTGGACGGCTAGACTAACAAACGAAGAAGTCCTAAGACGTGTTAGCAAATAATGTGAACTGTTTAAATTTATTGAAAAGAGAAAAACGGTATATTTGGGACATATAATGCGAAACACGAAATACTTACCAATTCTTGCATCTGTTGATCGAAGGCAACAAGGCTACATGATGTGCAGTCGTTAATATACACCGCACCGGAATATAGAAGCGATGGAAAATGTTATCGCAAATATTCATTATTGGATACGCATTAGAAGAAGAAGGAATCACATAATTCAAAATTCTTTGAGACCGATGATGGCTCAATTACGTTACATATAAAATGGAAGTAAAATCTCTTCAATTGAGAGAACCTTGGTCAGTTGACTCACTCGGAGCCCTCGACAAAGTATCTGGAGTGGACTTTTCTTTACCCAGGGATTTTCACAATATTCAGAGGAATCACCTTCACAAACGCGTCTTAAAGCTTCCAAAAAACATCATACTGATATTAATGATATTATGCATCAGGAAACATCAGTTCAAGATACTGCTCCTACACGAATTATTCAACAGGACATCACTGAGCATCAGGTAGAATTAAATGAAGACCTTGAACTCACAGAACAACCTCCAGAGCAAACCCCTCCAGGAGAAGATGATGCAACTAGGTACTCATATTCCGCATTCCCAATTTGATGAAACTTCTAAAAACCAGTAATTTTCCACAAGCTATTTTTGAATATATCTTTACAGATGATATAATGAAATATCTACTCGATTGCACAAATGAATATGGACTAGTTTTAATAAACTCCCATAGGCCTAAGACTAGAAACGCCAGAGATGCTCGCTTCCGTACTATAGATGGCGATGAACTGAGAAAGTTTTTGGTATTACGCCTACTACACGTTCAAATTGTAACTTCAAATATGCGTCGCTCTTTTTCCTATGCAGATGTTCTATATTTCCATCTAATATTTAGTTATGTCTGGGAGGGGATTTGAACAGATATTGAGAGTTTTATGCTGCTCTTCTACTTCGACAAAGAAGAAAAAGTTCAATCATCTGTAGACATGCACCTAACACAATTTCAGAGTGTTAGTCCTACCAAACAGCTGTCCTTCTGCACTTTCGTGGAAGACTTGGTTTATGGAATATGGCATCAAATTTTATGAGTTAACAACCTCAGATCTACCTCCTCAACATAGAAATGTTTAGTGGTAAGATAGAAAACGAAGAAATTAACAACGAAATTGGATTCTCTAGTTCTGAGGTTGATGAAGCCATACATTAAAAAGAGACATAAACTTTTTATGGGCAATTTCTACAAAAGTTGCAGGCTGTCTGAAAAATTACTTGATCTTAGAACCCATACTATTCGAATCCTACGATCTATCCGTAAAGGCAATCCTGGCGAATTGGTCTAGAAAAAGCTGAAGAAGGGAGAACATTTTTGGGTCTGCCGAAAACAGGTTTACGTTTCCAAATGGCAGGATAAACGGGACGTGCTAATTACGACTTGCACGGTGTTTGTGAAAAATAGATATGGCAAGGAGCAGATGAAGCCTGAAGAAGTTGTAGAATAGAACAGGTACATGTCAGGCATCGATAGATGTGACCAAATGATATCAACATATTCGACCCTCGTTGGTATAAAAAAGTAATGTTTCATATGCTGGATATAACCGTATGGTAATGCTTTTTATCGGTACATAAAATATTGCAAAAATAATTCTAAAACTGCTGATTTTTAGATTTCCCTGATGGCCTAATAAAATTTTTATTAAAACTACCAGTTGATATTGAAGCAAAAAATCGAATTCGACGACATAAATATGACAACATCTATGAGCCAGAAGATTCTACAAATCCAAATGGGTTGCAGGGTCACTGGCCTGAACGAAATCCAGTTGACCCAATTGCCAAATCCAACAAGAAAAAGGTTTTTTTGAAATGTAGGGTCTGTACCAAAAATGGTTTGCGTAGAGAATCAAGTTATCGATGCAAGGGATGTTTTATAAAACCTCCCTTATGTCCAGAATGTTTTGAGGAATGGCATAAAACCAATTATGATTAATTTAAAAGGTTTTCTTGCATTCAAATTATTTAGAATTTATAATGTTGATCTCATTTCAAACTAATTGCTTTATCCTATGTGGCAGAAATATCAATATTTCTTTGTTAAAAAGTTGTATAAGAGTTAATTCCTATGTTTCTACCAAATATATAATAAAGTTTATTTTTCTACAAGTATTTTTAGTTTTATTTTGAAAAATATCACAGTGCTGATAGCCGCTGTGTCATAGCATATATTGGTTTTTTAATTGCAGCAAGACACAACGCTGCATAAGGTCGAACGCTGATCAGCGATTTGTCACTATCGGCATAACAATTTCCTTTATAATCTGACAAAATGCTGATATGCGTCAAAAAAACAAAAATCCCCTCCCTAAAATTTCGATTTTTTGGCATAGGTAACTTGGTTGGTATGTCTTTAATTTCAACATTTAGATAAGTATCTGTTGGCAACTCCTAAAATGACTTGGTGTCCGTCAACATGTTGAAATGTCTTCTTTTTCCGCAGTGGTGGCATTCAAGTCTTTCATAAGTTGATTCAGATAACAGGCTTCCGTAATTCTTCCAGAAGTTTCTCCATCGAACCTGATTTCTTCTAAGGGCTCTTTTTGTTCTCGAAATGACGCTGATCTGATCTTTGGTTTGGATATCTTACGTTGCTACTTGATGGTTTGATTGTGAGCAGCATTCTCTAAAAGTCCATATTTATAACTGTATTTATGAAGTTTAGGATGCTAGTTATTGTTCTCTGCCTTTAGTGATCGCCAGCTTTCAAAAACTTTAACATGCAAAAATTAATGGGGAAATATCTGGCCTCATGAAGAAAAATAAATATCATTCTAGTATTTTTGTTAGTTGATAGATCAGAAAGTTTCATTTCATGCTGCATTTTTTAGTACACAGGATGCTAACGGCGGCGACAAATATGCGTGAACAAACGCGGATTTATCACCGACTCGTAGATAGATTTTTTTTCAAAAATATTTTGGGGTACAGTTTCACTATACGATACGACATTGATCGCTAGATTTTGTCGAAGATCCGACCAATTTTTAAAAAAAATTCTCTTTTTCGTCGCTGACCAAAAACCCGTATCCCACTAAGTTAGGTCAGCGAAATTAGGTTTGGTGGCGATTGGTTATATTATGTCGTAAGCTGATTATTTCCCTCCTGTCATTTTAGGCCAATCACAAAAACGCATTTTAACGTCAAAAACTGTTTTCAAGTGGAAACATTTGAATATGTCATGCCAAAACAAATATTTGAGCTTCTAATTTTTCTATCTTAAAAACTCATTATCAAGCAATTTGTTTAACAAAAGGTACGAGAGTTATTTAAAACATGTCTTGAAGACGAGGGTTTTTTACACTCTGATAGATGGATTTGGCCAATTATGTTTTGTTCTCTGTAATGATCATCATCATCTACTCGATCAAATAATGTACGGGAAACATTAAACATTATGGATAGTTACGTAAGAATTGTAAGAAGTATGCTAGACTACCAAAGAAACACCTACAAGGATCTACCAGAGCGTCCTTTGCATGTAAATATGTATTTACAAAATGTTAATTTATATGATATATCTTCTAAAAATTGTTTTTACTAAAATGTTATTTGAATGATTTTTGTATTTTATTCAAGGTGCTTGAAATTTTTTTATGCTAACTCAGAAATATTTTTAGGTATTATGCTTAATGGAGCACAACGTCGCTCTACATATCATGGCGGATACACTTATGGAATGTATAGTAGCAGTACTTCTTCTAAAATGTAATGTTCTCCTTATGTTTTTTCAAATTTTTTGTTCAACGAATCTCTATATTTTTAGTTATTTGAGATGTTCAGGTCACAGAAGTACCGGCTGCCGAGGAAGAGGTTACATATTGAGAGGCCAAGACGTAGAAAGTTTCGTTCTATTAGACGAACACTGTCATCCACCTAATTTCTTATTGGAAAGACGATCGGAAATTGCCAAGACCATGAAAGAGTATGCTCTTTCTGTTCCTGGAAAGCCCATTGAAATTTACAACAGTGTCGTTTCGATGTAAGTAGATTGAACTTGAGCATATTTCTTTAGGCTTCCTACATTGACATTAAAACCTTACTATATTTTTTGCTTGAATTGATTAAACTCTGTTGTAGTTATCCTGAAGTCCGACAGATATGGCCTTTCTCTAGAGCAGTTCGAACAATTAATCGGGTTCGTCAACAAAGTGGATTCATGAGAAACTGATGTGTTTTATAAATTTTAATTGATTAGTATAAGTACTTATATATTTTATTATTATAATTTTAATATATATTTTCTTTTAAATTAACTTGATTGAACGATCAATCCTGAGTACACAAAGTATATTAGATTTTTTCCACTCTTAACATGGTATCGAATTGTGTTGGAGGAGTCAGTTGCACTGCGACCTGGGTTGGTCTATTGTATTCCCCTTCTGCTGCTAGATTCAGGTTTCCTGCTCACAGCAGCCCTTCTAGTCCTAGATTGTAGATTGTGGGGGGAGTCGTGAGTCGTTTCGGCTTTCCAGCCGCTCAGCACTGCTACTTTTGCAGATATTTTGTACGTGACTCTACATCTTAAATTGTTTCCAGAAAGCGTAGACTTCTGCCGAAGGAAGCTATTTTTCTGGGTGTTATTTGGCCCACTTCTTCTGGTGACAGTGTTGTTCCCTCGAGGAATTTGAGCCTCTTGCAGAATTGGGCTGGACATTCGCACAGCAGGTGCTCTGCGGTCTCTATTGCGTCTGAGCAGAATCTGCAGAAATCGTCTTCTGCTCTGCCCATTAACCTTAAGTGGTATTTGACCAGGCAGTGTCCTGTGAGCAGCCCTACTACTACATTCTGGTGTCTGGTCTGCTCTTTTTGCTGAGAGGGTAATAAACCTTTTTGACTGTCTTAGTCCCGGAGTGTGCCATGAACTCTATCCATTTTACAATTGGGACTTCATTTGAAGGCTCCCTCTATGTCAATGAATGCTCTGAGAGCGATCTCTTTGCACTCGATTGTCCTTTCAGTGTCTTCAACCAGGCAGTGTAAAGCACTTGTTGTGGATTTGCCTGGGTGATAGGCAAATCGCTTTGAGTAGAGCGGTCTTTTCAATAGAGTTTCGCTTCTGATGTACTGGTCAATTGCCGACTCCATTGTTTTGAGGAGAAAGGAGGTTAGGCTAATGGGACGGTATGATTTTGCTTTTTTTTTTGATTTTATCAATTCACGGTTGTACTTGTCTAGGGCTGTTCTGTAATCTGCCCAGTAACCGTTAGCTTTTGCCTTGTTGAACAGTTTTGTTTTCTGGCATCTTGTTTCAGACGTCTCAGCTGCGCGTTCCACCAAGGCACATCTCTGTGGACTGCCTTCTGTTTTACGGGACAACTGTTGTCATAGGAATCTTTTATTGCTTTTATTAGATTGTTAGATGATGCCTCTAACTCCCATATTGTGTTTATGTCAGAAGGGAGTTCATCTAGACTCAGACAGAGACCTTCCACATAGGATACCCAGTTGGTGAGTTTTGGGATTCTCGTTTGTACTGAGTGGTTTATTGCTGCCTCTAGGTCGAACCTTACTGCTTGATGGTCCGACAGGGAGGGTTTATTTGATACAAACCAGTTGGTTTGTCTGACAGCGTTGATGAAAGTGGGTTTATTATCGTTGTTGATAATGTTGTTAGAGTTCAAATATTCAAAGAGATACTCACCCCTTTGTATCTGTGCTTCCCCATCCTACCTGGTGATGGGCGTTGGCGTCTGCCACGATAATATAATGTCTGTTTCTCACTTTACACTACGTGATGAGTAGTTGAACGATCTCTGGCGGTGCTGAGTTGTCATCACCTGGAAAGTAGGCTGAGGCTATGAGAATATGCTTTGAGCCCCCCTCCGTTGGCACTTCTACCAGAGCAGCTGTTAAGTCTTGAGTGATAAACTCTGGAACAGGTAAGAATTTTAAATTTTTGTCGAGCAGCAATGCTGCCCTTGGTCTTTCATGGTTAATGTTGTAGATTAGCTTACATGATTTATTATTTAGGCCTTTTATAGAGCCTCCATTGACCCAGGGCTCTTTAAGTAGCCCTACGTTGATTTTTGTCCAAACATCCTTCTTCTAAGCTCACTGGTGGCAGCTTTTGAATGTTGAAAATTTATTTAGATGCATTTAATGCTTCGTGAGTTGCTCTCCTTTGGTTGTTTGGGGGAAGCCATTGGAGTTGCGGATGACTCGCCAGTTTTTAACGTTTAGGCCCTCATTTTGGCCTTGAACGAGATTAAGGATTTTCTCCGTGAACTAATCTATGCTGTTTGGGAATCGAGTATCCAAGACGTCAGAGTGAGGAATATCAGATTCCTCTACCATCTTTAGCGAAGCTCCCTTCCAAGGCTTGGTGGAGTCGACTGCAGTTTGGAGCCACTGCTTGGTGGCCATATTTTCGCAAACTAGTGCAAGCCAGCCGGGTTTGTTCTGGATGCACCGAAACTTCGGTTTGATGGAGGAACCCGATGCTACCTCGTACACGATCTTGTCCATGATTGCCTCTTAGGTGGCTTGTGTTTGCTCCATTGACAAGAGATAATTGGGGTAGTATTCCTACCTTTATGCGTCCAGCTATCTGGCTGAAGGTTGGGTTTGGAGCTCTAGAAGGCGGAGCATTGCTGCTCGTTTCCCTCTTTTTTGTGGACGGGGCATTTCTGCCCGTTTCCCTTGTCCTATAGCTGTTTTTCTCTCATGAGCTTCCGGGGTTGTTCCCTCTGACAGGGCTCTTTTTTCGCCCTTGTCAAAGGTCCTTTCTTTGATTGGCTAGCTTTTTTGCGGGCTTCGTCTGCACTCGTTCCTTTTTTAATGAGGAATTTCATCCTCTTTTTGGCAGCACTACTCAGCCTGATCTTCACACCGCCCTTTAGCTGTAGGGCGCCCAGATCTTTGCCGAGTTTGTCGTCGGTTGAACGAAGAAGCTCCTCTTGGGTGTCTGTGGGGCTTTTACAGTCTCCTAATTCCATATTTTCAGATGTGTTTGAGGCGCTATCATCCCTCGCCTTGTTTGGTTTCCATGCTAGGTCCCACGATTAGCTAGGGAAAGAAACCATACAGCCGAGGCAGAGCCCCGCATGCCCGGTCGGGCTAGTTAAGCCGTGGGGTCGCCACATCTTCGCATAGTATCGAATAGGCTTTCCCCTAACCACGCAGTCCTTGGCCTATGCTGTTCCACCGTGACTTGGAGGGATTTCTACTCCTCCACGCTGTTTGTCTAAGGTCGTGTTTATGTTATGATACACGATAAAAGCAACGATACTAATAGATAGTATCATTAGTATCATTGCTTTTATCGTTTATCGCAGCTCCAACATAAACACGGCCTAACACGCATCCAGCATTCCAGGATGCTGGGTGCGTGTTTTCCTGGTATGGTGAGCCAGTCTTAGTCACGACCAATAGTCTTTTTATCTCTGCAGGGACGTTCAGCAGCTGAGCCTCTCCACCATCGACAAGGTCCCACGGCTCCCTGGAGAAGTTTCTAGTCCTTAGTCCTTTAGGAATCTCAGGATATCCAGTGGTTCCAAAGATTGAATGTCTTCTAAGGATACGTACCAGATTCTTTATTCTTGGACGACTAACGGCATCGCAATAGGGAACTTTGATGAAATAACAATGATTAGATTCAGGGCCGATTTATTCAATTTCTGATAGACTGTCCGGTATGCAATTTGACGGATGAAAACGCAATCTGTTATCTCATTGGTCGGCCAGTTATCCGCCGACAAATAGAATTATAGGAATTTATCTTGCACATAATTACCAGCAAGTTTATCTGTAGATGAATATACTGGGCCATAATCGAATAAGTGAAAGGTACAGATATGAATAGAGACATTTTCGCAAAATTTTTTGAATCTATTCAAAAATACAATTTTTATGAATTTTTAAAAATAATATTGCCGTCTCTGTCTTACTCGCATTGGCTTATGGCGTTACTACTGAATGACGTCACATAGTAGCCTTTTCACTCCTGTAACTTTGTTAATTTTGAAGATATTCAAATTTTGTTTAGACAGATCAGTTCCAAATGGTTTGAGGAATCAATTTAAAAACTAAAAAAAAAAGAATGGTCAAGTTTCCTATTCAGTAGAAGGTGGTGAGGTGTCTCCTGTCTGTCTTTAGAGAATCTACAGGTACAGGGTTATTGATTTAAATGTCTCCCCCTCTACCTTTTTTGTTTGAAATTTTAAAATGAATTGTCCCAAATAAAAGTTTCATGATTGAAACTAACTTTTCTAAATACCTACTTTTCGCATAGAAAAGCTGGTCGTAGTCCAACTCTCTTATTTTAAATGGAATATCTTGAATATTATTGATTATTCCACTCATGTGTTAGAAATCCCATAAGACAAGTGACAGTTTTCAAAATTACAGCGAAAATTCTTTTGTCCGTTAGTTTAACTAGAGAGAATTACAGCGATTATACAACTCACTGTACATTATTCCCATATGACACGAGAGGCTTAACAAGTGATAAGCCTTTTGGGATTATCGCGCTTTTGAAGTAAGTTTAGTTCGTTGTATAACCTTTTGAATACCACTCGATGTTTCAGGATTACCTAATACTTTTACCTGACGCTCAATGCGTTATCAGCAACACCACTTCTCCTTCGGAGTCGTGGTGTTGCTGCATAACGCGTTTCGTGACTGGTAAAAGTATTATCCGGTAATCCTGAAACCTCTTGTGGTATTACATTCGATAATTCTCCCATGTTATTGTATTCATGGTTGTCATGCTAATTTTTGATACAAACGGTTGCTGTTAGGAACCATTTATTTGTATTGATTGTTGAGTTGTTAAAATCATTTTTAAATATTTATTTGAATGTTTTTCGCCGTTTCATTCGCGAAATAATCCTCTAAATACCACTCGAGCCTTAAAATGGACCAGATAATTTTTCACTCATGCGTGTTTTCCTTTTAAATTTCACTGGTCCTACGGACTCGTGAAATTATAGAAAACACGCATTCGTGAAAAATTATCGGTAATTTTGAAGCTCTCGTGGTATTATCCCCGAATATTCGGATTCTACATTCTACGTAAGATTCTAAACCGATTTCATGTGATATCCCTATACCTAAATTCGACTGTTTTGGAAATATTGACAGTTGAAAATTGACTTTTTTGCAACTCTGACAGGCTATAAAACCTAAACGGTTGATTTTAGAGCAAAACCGATGTCACATTTTTGTCTTAGATTTTCATATACCCACCTACTAAAATCATTTGACACTAACTTTGAATTGGGACCTTGGATGGGAGGGGTTGGTTAGAGCGTCACCTTATCGGGCATCCGGTGATAACCTGTGATATGGCTGCGTTTTATAGCAGAGAGCACAGACCGTTCAGCCATCCGTTACCTGTTAAGTGGAGTCTTACTCCCAGGAAAGAAAAAATGTTTGCTTTCCTTGGAAGATATTAAGTACTTCCTAAGTTAGTTGAAACATTTACAGCGTTGCTTTAACTCTAATAACTACTGTTGACTTTATATGAATTATCACACCGGAAAGTTAAGGACTTTGGAATTCTATTCGAAATGTGCCAGACAATCATGTTTTTCCATGGCTCCTCTTCAGCACCCACCATTTGAAATAAAGTTTAAAAATCGTACACGTAAAAATTGAACACGAATGCATTAAAAACTGAAACAGTCAAAGGTTTACAAAATATAAAATAAAGGACCAGAGGCTACATTAAAAAAAAAAAAGAAACTCTTGTAGATATATAATAGGAAAAGTGGAAAAAATTTAATATGAAACTGGGTACAAAGTCACAGACATAGTGCTCAGGGATTAGTTCTCGCCGCTACTTGAAGTGTAAATAACCATTAATAATTTTATTGATTTGTTTTTGTAATTTGTAACTCCATAGAGTAATTTTTGTCTTTTCAATATTTTGTCTTTGTAGTTTGTAGCTTCATAGAGTAAAAGTATGTTACATGCCGGGGTGGGAAGTATTCTTCGGGTGTGGTAGGTAATGTCGTAATGTGTGTAATCCCAACCTGCCATGCCATGAAGTCAGTTATATCAGTGCTTTTTTCATTTTATTTTAAGATGAACTCACATATTTATATGTTCTCAATTTAGTGTTAGTTATATTATATCAACATTACATATTTGATTGTAAATAAATTACATTACCTACATGCTTTATTTTGTATGGAGCTCATTTTGCATTATCTAACAGTGGGATAATCTTTCATTATTTCCATTTTATTGTCTTTTATGTCCCCTATACCTATACCCAATATTTGTTACTTTTATTGTTGATTATTAAATTTTAGAAAGTTAGCATTTAGCTGTCATCCAATGTATATTTAATCAATCGAAATAAATATTTTATCATTCTATATTATTTTATTATTTAACTACCAAAAATGATATAATTCTTATTGAACAATTGTTTGTGACATTGGTTTCCAAGACAGCGCAGTCCAATTTTTGCATGCTATCGAGATGTAAATTTTTTTAAAAGCAAATTTAAGATTTACTCATCTACCATTTGCGATAATAGAATCGATTCGTTTACCGAAGGCAGTTACATCCAGAAGTCGCATTAGGTGACTGAAAGTGACGATAGATAATTTTGTTTAATACCAGTTATTTCTTCACCGATGTGCCGTTTAATTCTACAATAAACTTCATCAGGGCTAGCTACAAAAGACTGGATGAAATTAGAAATTACCAGTGATTTCTGAAATTGATTTCTACAGGGCGATCAAAATTGAGGCGTATCAATGGAATATTGTGAATTGTAAAATACACAGGGTTGATTCAATTGTAACTTTGTAATTGTGTATCTAATATTACAAAGAAGATAAGTTCATTAGTAATTTCAAGTTCAAATAATATTCACAAATATACAAGTATTTCACTTTATTTATTAACTAGTACTTTTGAAGAAATATTAACATTCTCTTTCTTTTAGAACTACTAAATCGCGATTTAATAAAAAGACGACCTCATATGGCACGGTATGTTGTTGATGGATTTGTTTTTCACGTGAATAATATATCTAAAGGAAACCCACGGAATATGTAAGTGAATTTAAGAAAATATTTACTTAAAAAAATATATATATTATATGTTAAGGTACCTTCGTTGCCTGGAATACAAACGACTCGGTTGTCATGCTAGAGCCGAAATTCCTTTTGATGGTTCATCCAAAAATATCAAAGTAAGCAAATCACATAATCATACCTCAGACATCTGTGCGGAGGAAAAAGTTACTTTTATGCGTGATCTAAAAGAAGTGTTGCTTAAAAATCCGACAGTGCCAAATCGAACGATTTATCAGACTTTGGCAGAAATGTAAGAGAACCTTTCAATTTTTATTATTTTTATGAGCAATAGAGTTTTTCAAGGTCTCCAAATGCAGCAGGAGAAATCCCGTTCGAGTCCATCCGTAGGAAAATGAACCGTTGGAGAAGGGAAAACAACGATGGGTTACAGCAGCGAGAACTTATAGAGAAACAATGAGTAAAATTATTATTATTTCTTATTAGTTTTTTCTTACATAATGTTAAGTTCAATTGTTCGATTGTTTGTTCGATTTGTTTTTTTCGTTCCTATTGATTTTTTCGTTCTTATTAATTTTTTCGTATTCTTATAGGACAAAGACAAAGTAAAATGTATTGTTTAGAATTTATGTAGAGCAAATCTTGTATACAGGGTGTCCCAGCTAAAACGAAACAGAGGAGTTTTTGCAGATTTAGAATTATTTAAATGAAAAACACTCCGACACGTCGATTTTTGCATGAAAGGGGACAACTTTCAAATTCATCTTTAATGACCTACCTGTCATCCCTTAGCGGGGGCGCGTTCAACCGCTAAAAATTGAATAGGGAAAGTGGGTCGACTGACCCCTTAAATGAAAGCTCTTTAAATTCTCTTTTCACCGATACCACATTTATTGACATTTATGTCAAAAAATTTGACAATGACGCGTCCCACCCAAAACGAAAAAAGGCAATTTAAAGGCATTTCTCGTTTTAAAAGCAAAAAAAACGGCTTACACGTGAAATTTGTGTAAACTTTTTCTGTTATCTTCCATGTTATTTTGTTTATTAGAGGTCTTTAATTTTTTCATAATTTTTCATAATTTTCCACGAAAATTTCAAAGATATTCCTGAAATGAGACAGCGTTGAAAAGAAGCAGTAATAAGCTTACAAATGAGGTGTCTTTCATCCCCTCATTCCATTTGAGACTTTGAGGCCCAGCTGTACAATCTCGGTTCAAAACAAAGTTCAACTGAACTCGACTGGTACTTGAACTTTCCTATTTGAAAAATATTGCTGTCAGCTATTAATCAAATTAGGTATATCAAGTTTGATAGCAATGCATTTCAAATGTGGAAGTTCAAGTACCAGTCCAGTTCAGCTGAACTCTGTTTTGAACCAAGATTGTACAACTGGGCCTAAGGGTGGATGTCACCGCTGCGTGGGATTTCAACTTAGGGGTTGAAAAATATTCGCAGATTAATTGACCTTTTCAATTTAGAAGCCTCTCTCTCTGGCGTCAAACTGTCAGACGCCAAAAGAGTATGAAAACAATGATTGACAGCCGTTGTCAGTGCTTTGTTGACAAGACTTTTAATACGTGTGGAGACTGGAAACTATTATTTCCTCGGTTTTTTCCTAACAATGGTGATTCTGTGTAGTGTAATTCGTAGTAATTGAATTTTTTTTTTCACATGGCTGTAGAAAAAAATACTTCCCCACACTCTCACAGGTTTGTGGATTCCAAATATCAAAAGGTTTTTTGAAAACGGTAGGTGAATAAACAAGAGCATAATTTGTGTTGAAAGATACCAATGTTTGCCATTTAAGCCCGGTCTACCGATCCTCTTACATTTTTTTTTTAGAATGGAACATGATCTGCCAGATAGGGAAATAAATGAGCACGAGAGGATTCATCGAAACTGCCACAGGGTTCTACTGAATGAAATAAATCTGGAAAACCAAGATCATTTCAGATTTACAGTAGTTCCTCAAAGAAATAATAGATGTTTCATTTGTTTGGACGGCAGAAGAAGGCAACTGGCACAAATAACATTTGCTGCTAGAATTAATTTTTACATTGAAAGGGACTTGTTCGTGCCAAGAACAAGTCTTTGCTGCTTACGGCATTATAATGATGAGGGTTTTTTGAAATCCCAGGATACAGCCCCAATTCGCGGTTTTCAAAGAGCAATTGCTATGACAGCTCAAGAAGCCATGCAATGGTTTAAGGCATTGCGTCAAAGTGTTATATAACAAAAGGCTGGTTTGTATGAGTCAGAAAATCATTTTTCAGAAGAAGATTTTAAGTTATTGACTAATCTCAATAAGGAACAATTTCGCGACTTGTATACCTATTGTGATGATGTTGGTTGGATGGATCAACGCGAAATATTTCCAAAAAAGATGCCATAGCATTTTTAATTAAACTGAAACTTGGCTTGTCGGATAGTACATTGAAGGTGCTCATGTGTTTTCCTAGCAGACAATATGTGAGTCTGACAATAACAGCAGTTCGAACATCATTGACTGGCAGATTTGTAGATGAAAATATTGGTGTAGGAGCAATAGAAAGAGAAAATTATATAGACTTAGATGTAACACCTTTTGCGAATGAGCGATCATCCTGAAACACGTAAGGCAATAGCCTATGTCGATGGAACTTATATCAAAATTCCGAAAAGCTCTAATTTTCGAGCACTCAGGCAATCGTATTGTCTTTATAAGGGGTGCCATCTACTAAAACCAGGACTTATAGTTGCACCAGATGGATATATACTAGATGTTCATGGGCCATATTTTTCAGATGGAAGAAATAATGACGCTGCTATGATTGAAGATCATCTTCAGCAAGCTAATGATCAGGATCTTAATCGTGTAAGGAATTGGTTTCAGGAAGATGATATATTGATCGTTGACAGAGGATATCGTGACGCTTTGCCCTTTTTAAACGGGTTGGGTATCGATACAGAAATGCCTCCTCTAATACCACGGGGTCAACGACAATTATCTACCAAAGATTCAAATAAAAGCAAGATTGCTCACCAAGACACGGTGGATTATTGAAGCAAGAAATGGTCACATTAAATCTTGTTTTCATTTCTTAAGAGATATATTGCCAGTACAGCATATATCCTTTTTGAATATCTTTCTCCGAATAATATGCTCCATTATTAACCGGTATTTTCCTCTCATTCATATGGATGGAGCAACTGAAGAATCTGCACAAGCAATGAAGGAATTGGCTGCGAGAGATAATCTTCTTCAAGCTAGAGTGAATAATGAAAATCTACAAAGACAAATTATTCCAGACGACAAAAGCAAAATCTAGATGAACTAAATATCAATAATTTTCCACACCTTGATCTACAATACCTTCGGGATCTGACTGTAGGAGTATACCAATTAAAGTTGGCTCCTAGCTATATCCAAGATCGCCTGCAACGAGAAGAAGTAGAACACTTCACTTTACAAGCCACCGAACTACAACCTGGTCTGCTAAGGTCAAGAGTATATTCCCGTTTTATACAAAGGATAAGACATAACATCTGGATTAGCTTTATTCCCAATGAGAACCTTGAACATGATAGACAGCCAATAACGGGGTATTATTGCACATGTAAAACGGGAGCAAGGACAGTGGGTTGCTGTTCCCATGTTGCAAGCGTTTTGTGGTTTCTGGGTTATGCACGTCATGAAAATAATGTTCGATATCCACCTCTGAACATTTTGTTTGCTACAAAAGATGCTGCAAACCGGCCTTTGCGCGAACCATTGCAACATTAATTATTTTTATTTATTTAATTTATCTTCAGTAGATTTAATTTTTGCATATTCAGGGTTTTTAAATATTCATTGGTAATATGAATGAAACAGAAGCAGATGCTTTTACTTAAGTTTTTTTGAGATAAAAATATTCAGCTTTAATGCAACAAAAATAGACGGAAGTAGAATAAAAGCATTTGCTACACTTCATTCATATGACTAACTATGCCTAAGAGTTCTATTAGGTTATTGATACATCCTTTTCGTAAAAAAAAGATAATTGAAAATCGCGAATTTGTCTGGGGAAGAAGGGCGGGGGCGCCATTTTCGGTCTTTTTCCAAGCTTTCTTTAAACCCATTTACTGGGTCTCCTATTGGTCGGGGCACAATGGGCCCATGGTAACTTTTGTTTATTTTCCCTAGCTCTGCAACATATTAAAATTTAAAAAAAATCGACTGGCCTTTATTTTCCATATAATCTGTGCCATGTCCTTTTTTCACGTGTTAGCCGTTTTTTTTACTTTTAAAACGAGGAATGCCTTTAAATTGCCTCGTTTCGTTTTTGGTGGGACCCGTCATTGTCAAATTTTTTGACATAAATGTCAATAAATGTGGTACCGTTGAAAAGAGAATTTAAAGAGCTTTCATTTAAGGGGTCAGTCGACCCACTTTCCCTATTTAATTTTTAGGGGTTCAACTCGCCCCCGCTAAGGGATGACAGGTAGGTCATTAAAGATGAATTTGAAAGTTGTCCCCTTTCATGCAAAAATCGACGTGTCCGAGTGTTTTTCATTTAAATAATTCTAAATATGCAAAAACTCCTCCGTTTCGTTTTAGCTGGGACACCCTGTATATTTAAATAAAACACTTTCGCGTTCGCGATATATTACTGCCTATTTGAATTAATTTTTTTCCTACTTGTAATACAAAGTTGCAACAGCAAATCTTAGTTTAATTAATATCCTAGAATTTTCATATTTATTTTTCATAAAAATGTAATTATCATTATTATGTTTATTTTTGTTACTTAATTATTCCCATTTTCAGGTCATCAACAAGAATTTATTCTTAACCCATCCCACAAACCGGACCATCTTATTCTTATGAATCAAATTTACAAGTTTCTGAGACGCGAGGGTACAACCAAAGTGTGGCAGTGCTTTAAGGCCGAATGTTCAGCCTCTTGCCATACTACTAAAGGAAAAGTAAATTTGCGTTTAGGGTTGCACAATCACTCCGCGCCTACTGCTTTGATTAAACAACGTCGGAAGGAAAATCGGGTTGTAAAGAATAAATTGACTTGATTTGGGTAACAATAGGGTGAATTTTTCGAAAAATTATTACTTAGAGAATCTTTTCAAAGTCACCCTTTATACTTGGTGCTCTAAAACTATGAGTTCAGAATTTTTTTCTATTTTTTATAAAACCATTTTTTTTTAATTTGATTAATTACTTTTTTCACCTTTTTTCCCCTGCTTTTTTTCAAATTCTTAAAATTCTAGTAGACATTTTGATATTAGGAGTTATGGATTAGCTTGTTTTATTTCATACAATAGTTGTGTTAAAGTACGTACGTCAAAATCGTCCCTTCCTTTATCTAATTTTTGAACCGTTAAAAATATATAATTTGATTGAACAAAATTAAAGATAGGTATTACTTTTTGAGGTAAACTGTAAAGTTATAGATGATAATTTCTTCTACCGCCAAGATATTATTTTCGAAATTCTCTTTTTATACTTTATAAGCTTAAATAAATAAACAATTTCGGTTAAGGAGCCAATTTCGCATTGTGTATAATTTTGCTTAATTTGTCAATGCTTTCGATTATGATTCATAAGCTTTTATAATAGTTATGGTTTTTGTGGGTTAGAATTAATTTTAGACGTAGGACAAAATTTTATTGCTTAGGTATAAAATTTTATCAAATTTTACAATGAATATTAGGC